GCTAATAGTATTGTGTAGAATGCATATAAAAGAAATCAAAGTTAAGAAAGAAACAACAATGTAAATCAACAAAAAAAAAAAGTATTTTTTATGTTTTATGAAGACCCGTTGCCAGCCACTACCAAAGGTGGAGTCACTAGTGAAATTGTTTGCCATGAGTTTTATTGCTTGAAATTCTGCACATTTTCATAACTTGTTTAGTATGAGCCCTGCCAGAACATTATTTGACACTCGAGCATTTCAGATATTTTTAGTTAGCAAGGATCCCTCCAAAGAAGTTCCTTGAAAATGCATCGAACGCAAGTAACCGTGTGACTTCTTTTACAAGGCTTTCGGGCAAATACCACATTTTTGAGGATCCAAAATATTAGTCATTTCTCCCAATGAATTTCTTTGCCGATGAAATTGACGATCATAATATCAAGGACTTTGAAAAGCACCTAGGCGATGTCGGCCTTGAATTGCATTTTTGATTCAAAATATCAATGCCTCTTCTTGTAGGTCAATACGCAATCGTATCTGGGTTTCCTCCATTTGGAGACGGCTAGCAAGACTGGTGAGAGTGAGGGGCTTACTATCATTGCGAATAATCCTCACAAGAGTTTCAAAGCGAGATGGTAGGATCTTCAGGATCTTGTGGACGATGACCAAATCTTAGGGCAGTTGCTTGACTTCACGCAGATCGTTAATGACTTCGTAAACAACCTGCATAAAAGAGGCAACCGTCATGTTGTCCATCATCCTTAAATTTTCCCACCTGTCCAGAGTGAGCATGGTGTCAGCAATGGTTTGAGTCGAGTAAATGGTTTGAGCTCGGATAATACTTTCTACGCTTCTGCTGGATCCAAGATTTGGGAAATATATGGTTTGACCATATCGGTGATGAATAAGTGCAATAAGTCCATAGCTTTGGTCTTCCGTCTTCTCAGCTTGTCTTTGTCGAATGGTTCAGAGCGAGGAGTAGAGAAGGCTACCACTTGTTCCTTTCCTTTGCTATCGTGGTTTTGACTAGGATCTATTGTTTCAAAAGAATCATCACTCAACTGTGCTGGGGATACGACATCCCACAGGTCTTCCCTCTCGAGGACACTCTGATGGTGTTGTGCCACGCCTTGAAATTTTCAGGGCCTGCTAACTTCTTGTTTGTTGCTTCCACTGAATTCATATCTAATTCGTTGTTCTATGTAATAGTGGCTAGCTAATATTTTAATTTACAAAACACACTCGATCGCTACTACTCACTCAATGGTCGCTCTGATACCATAACACAAACGTACACTCAATGTTCGATACAGAACAAGAATCAAGAATACAGCCAATACATGCTTCGGTAATCCACTGATGTGAACAGCAAGAAGAGCCGTATGAGTACAATTACTTTCGTAGGTTTCCATTGATGAGAACGTGATTAGAAAGCAGGGGTGTTTATCCAATAGAAACAGCTCAGGTACTGGCATTCCTTTCCCACAACTGCAGTCGACTAATCCTGTGCAGAAACGTACCGCCATAGGACGGAGAGACGTGACGAGTTGCTGCCAAAGTGTGCAGTTTTGGCGCAGTGATGCTTGAGCTTGCTTCAGGGAAAATGCCAATTTGCAGTCGACTTTTATGGTACAGCGGGTAAGAATTCAGTCGCATTGATGAAGAATCTTGTCAATCCTCACCAAAACAATGTGGTATATGACCTTGTTGTGGTGCGAACTGGTGATAGAGATTCAATCTGAACTGTTTTAACACTGGGACAATCACGCATGGTCACAGATGTGCTGGTTTGCCCCCAAACCACGCAAGTGACTGCTAGACAGAAGGAACTCAAATCCACACACTATGGCACCATCAACCCAGTATACTCGTTCAATCACGCAGGATGTTGAGTATTTCTCAGACGTATTCATCAAACGTAGCTCTTTTGTACCGGCTTATGTAAGAGGCAATGTAGTAATTCAATGAGCTGGTTGAAAAAAATATGAGCCCATGATAATAGATGAGGTTTCAGGCCTAGGAGGAGAATGCACTAGTGGTGATGGAGGGGTACGAGTTTGCCATCTTTGTGCATGTGTGAATGTTTTTTCCTACTTTAAACGGCTGATGAAGTGCTTTGAATCATGCGTTGTTGCACAAGGCCTGCATTCCCCAGGAAGAGTCTGTTCAGAGTGGGGAAGTTTAATATACAAATGAACTTTTTGACAATTGCTGGCAGTTTTAATTTTGGGCCCAATTGGTTGTATAATGAATGACAATATGGCTAAAAAAACATTTCTCACCACAATTAGTTAACGTATTAAGTAAAAATTTAAAAATTGCAAGTTTTATTCTAAAGATGAAAAAGAAGCTGATTTTATAACTTCTACACCAATAATACTAAAAAAAAAAGGATTAGAATCAACAAAAAGAAAAGGAAAAACTCAATAAAAAATATTAATAAATATCTAAAAAATATTAAATATAATTTTTTATGGTTCAAGTTCAATTTAATCAAATTATATCCAAAATAATTTCTAAAGTAATATTTTAAGTTATAAAAGAGTGTATTTTTATAAAAGAATTTATATTTATAAGGACCATAAAAGAAATCTTAAAAATAAAAAAGTGGCATAAGTAAGATAGAATTTTAATTAATTAATTTTAATATTAAGAAATTTTAAAAATTAATTAAAGATGACGTAAGCAAAGGATATGGATTTTTTAAAAGTAGTAACTAAATATCTTAATGCACTATTTTTTATATATTACTACAAAATTCTATTCAAAAGGTATTGACTTGATATTCAAATAAATAAAGAAATAAATGTATATAGATATGACTACACCTTTATTGTCATCAATACGAAATTATTAAATTAAATTGGAAATATTTTCATTTTTAAGAAAAAAAAAAATCAAATCTTTAAAAAAAAAAAATCATAATTCAAGTCATATGGTATATTTTTTTCCTATTAGTTTTACTAAGAAATTTTTTTCCTAAAGAATATATATATATATAGATTTGAAATATAAAATTGAATGTGTATATATATATATATATATATACACATTCAATTTTATATTTCAAATTTCCAAAATCAAAGAATATTTACTACCTATTTGTTTTCTTAGTGACTTGATATTGCTTCATATTAGATTTTTTATAATATGTAAATTTACCGATACATCTTAATTAGTAGATTTTTTAAAAATAATATTTTAATATAATTTAAATAGAAAAAAATAAGGATTACTTATTTTTTTAATTATTTATTAGAATTTAGAATGTTCTGTAAGTTACAAGAATATTGTTAAATAAAAATGGAGTCTTAGTAAGACTTGGAAGCAATCATCCTAATTGATTTAGCATTTTCTCTTGTTTGTAATAATTTGTGTGTTTACTTCTTGAGACCTATGTCTAAAATGGCCTTTTAATTATATGTAATACTTATTAAAATAATTAAAATAATATTTAATAAGTAGAAGAAGCATAAAAAAATAGCATGAGTTTTTAGTACTTTATGTAGAAAAATAAGATTTTAGTTCATTTAGATTAATGTTTTTTTATAATTAATAATCAAGTTTTCATAAAGTATATTTTATTTTAAATTAAAATCTAAAAATAATTTATAGAATTTATAGGATTTATTTGTAATATTTTGGTAATTTTTAAAATATTCTTTGATGATTTTTATAAAAATAATTATATTACTTTTAAAGGCCATTATGAATAATTAGAGGAATATTTGAAGGCTTAATAAAGTTTTAAAGCTAATTGAATATTTTTGAATCAAATTTATAGAACAAAATAGTTTATTCAGAGAAATAAAAATGACTAGAAACTAATAATATAAATAAAAAGATATTATATATATATATATATATATATGCATTGTCGTGCCTTAGAAATAATTAGGAAGATAAGACTATGGCTTTTTGGCTCTTCTAGGATATCTTACATACTACTTATGAGCATTGGTGGAACTCAAATCTTTCACCAAATACTCAAGTTATTCTTATGGTAAATCCGAATTGTTTAATTTTTTATTTTTAACTTCATATCTTAGAAATATCATAACTTATTTTATTTTATTTTATTTTATATTAAAGTCATTGAAAATATTAAAGATTAAATTATACAAATATCTGAATTTTATTTTATTTTTTTATCATTTATCAAGTCAGAATATAATAAAAAAAACTATATTTAGTTTTAAAGTGTATATTTCTCTTAATATTCTTTTCATACTTTTTTTCTCTCTTCTTTCTTTATTGATTTTATTTTTTACTTCACATTATTATTTACACAATTAAAAAACATATATTAAGATCTTCTTGTATTTTGAGTTAAAGAGTGAATTTTACCCTTACAAGCTATATAAATGAATTCTATACAACAAATTATTATTTGTGAGGTTCAATTTATTCAACCACTTTTTTTTTTTGTCTACTACTTGTTTTTCTTTAGCACAATAAGCAATGATAAAAGTTTTTTAAATAACTATGATTTTATTAACTTTCTATTCTAAGTACTAGAGAAGCTACATACAATAGTAAAAATAATCATCTAAGATCTAGAAGTTGCAAATTCAAACCTTTGAGTCCTTGATGAGTATGTAATTAGATTTTAACTATTTTCTTTATTTTTTCTTTATGACTTTGCACTTAATCTTTAGATATAACTTAATAAAAAGATGCTATTATATTTGGCATCGTTTTATTGCCAATATAGATATACAAATTTTTTAAAATTGGCCAAATATGCCCACAATGCATGCTAGTATGGTTGTTCCCAATCATTATCCATGGTGATGATGAGTTGCAGAAGCGGAAACAGCTAAAGTCACCTTTTCTCTAGATTTCTTTTCACCATAAGTAATTAACATGTCTTATATAGGAAGTAAAACATAGTATTTAAGAAAATTTCTAAAACATAATCAAGTCTTGTGTCCAAATTCTCAATACTTTGAGTATCCACCGTAAATCTTTTCCCTTTGGAGCAATTGACAGACTCAAGAACAATTTTGAAACAGTTATTACACAATTGCACAAATGCACAAATCCTTCTTTCAAATTTATTGGCCCTTTAAGATGGTCTTTGGAATGTTGATGACAGCCACATAATCGTCAACTAGCTGACAACGCAAGTCTCTCCAGTTGCGAATATGGAAGATTCTCACTAGCGTCCGCTTGACTGCGCTCTCTTTCTGTGCACAACTACTCTTGTTTCTATTGCTGTAACACATGATAAGATTCGAGAATTCGTGGTTTCTGTCGCGATATTCAAAGACAATGTTGACCCTCTCTGTCACATTCTTCTGGAGAAGGTCATGTATGCAGTGCAGCAGCCCTGAAGTAAACGACTAGTCAAGGGCATTCTTCACAACTACCTCTCTTGTGCTCAAATTCACAACTTTTGCATGTAAACAATACAAGTGGTGATCTAAAAGGTTGACTAAGTGTAGACGGTTGATATCGAATGACACTTAGGTCAACTGCCCATGCTTTCCCCCTTGCACGTAAAGTCCAATATATTCTCTATTGCAATTGTATTACAAAATAATTGGTTTGTCTCCGCGTTTTCTGTGGGCAAGTGCCATCAATCAAGCTGCATCCCATGGGTGTGGTTCTGCTCGAGCTGCCTCAAGCGCAAATAGTAAGCCCATACTGACTGACCTCACGGAGGTCATATGTGCAGTCCACCAGCCCGGCGACGAAAAGGAGAACAACATGACTTAACAGTGTAATACTGTTCTTATTACCTTTCACAAACAGTGCAACGCCAGTGCAAATTCTTGCCTTCTGAAGCTTGTTATAACAAAAGTATAGAATAACATGACTGACCGTCTGTTAAGTTTTTGAGACTGACAGAACGGGTATTTAGATACAGCCGGCAATCGCATGAATCCGTCTTATGTATGTATCATTAGCTCGTGACTTCAAAGCATGGAGGAAATTTTACATCAGAAAGTCTAAATGCCGCTGAAACCTCAACGTTACTGGCTAGATTTGTCTCATTTTTCAACAACATTGTCCACGTGAAATGTAAAAACTCAAAAAACTCAAAAAAATTAAATTGGGACGTATCTGGATCAGGTTCAATTGCACATGGGGAAGCTAAAAATTTGTGTGGCCACCTGAAGTTTGATGTACTCACTATCAGCAGTAGCTCCATGCAGCTAACAAAGAGAGCACGGTGAATCAAATCGAGGTATAGCTTAGTCGTAGATACCCTCCAAATCTTGGTTTATGTTCATGAATAATTGGCTCCTGTACCCCATATTACCAAGTCAAAATCACTAGCAAATGATGACACTCTAAAAATTTACCGAATCGCCGAGACCCTTTTGACTCAAGTTTATTTTAAAATCACTCGAAAAGTCCCCCTTCCAAGCAGAACTTTATCTAAAAAATAGTCTTTTGTTCCTGCCGATCGCCTTTGCCCAGAATACATCCATCTACTCCTTGTGCTGGCATGTGATTTTCCACCATATAATCTGAACTGTAACAATAGCGATGTAAGGTACGGAGACTGTCAAGAACGATCAAAATCATTCATGTTTGTATGCCGATGCTGAAGTCACGTAAGATGGCACCCAATGAAACACAAATCAAATTTTGTTGCTACACCCTCACAACACTCGGTTCTGATCACCAGAATGTAACTCCTAGCGCATATTGCAATGAAACTAGGACATGAATTGTAATCATCGGCTTGCACAGAGCAAGTCGCTTTGAGGTAGTAGGTACCTCAATGTGAGGGAAGCTCTGGTTGGCAGTCACCATTTTTGAGTCAGAAATCACCATCGCTGCTGCAGCACTAGAAAAATGACTATGCTCTTGTGTTAAAAAGTCCCACAAATCTGTGGATAAGTGGACAGGCCATAGTGACACCCACCAGCAGATAGGCAGATGTCCAGATCAGGCCCTGAAACATAAGCCGTCCCCAAGGAATGCAATCGGGCCTGGCCATACTCTGTTGTAGACCTTGTTCAAAGATAATAAAATCCTTGTACTTCTGATGCATCTGATTGTGCAAGCCTCGAAAATTCTACAAATATCAAACCTGAGATAGTCCTCCAGTCTTGTCAATGTAACATGATCTATTCGTGATCGTTGTCTATGTGATGACAACTACGTCTGCATGAGAGGGGTCGAGCCAGACAAAGGATAGAATATTCGGCACGATTTGTATAAACATGTTTAACGCCTTTGAGATGCCAGAGGTTTGCCGCCTGGAATATCGCTATGTTTCAATCATGATATTGCATTAGATAGAAATGCGCGCTTCCTCTCGACGCAGAGGGCACCACAGGAGCCTTTCGACTTCTCAGCAGTCAGGAAGCCTTCCAATCATTACCTACACGTTCCATCGCCTGATAGTAACCTCCTGAGACCAGCCAGTGCTCACCTACCTATCGGCATATGCTGCGAAAAGCATCAGATACCTTGAAATGGAAACGGAACACATGCTCGCTCCAATACCAAAAGCCTAGAATTGTGATTAAGGTTTAGTTCCAAGCCAGGTGAATTCAGAATTCTAGACTCGAAGCCCGTCTTTGACACGTCTCCCTGCGTCCAGACATCATACACGTTGGAATTATTCCAAAATCCGAGAAAAAGGAGAACGCGATGCGTCGAGTCGGGAAGGACCCGTGATCACAGCTTTAAGAACGCATCAAGCCTCCTCAGGTTTAAGAGCGGACTGACATTGAACAGACAGCAGCAAGACGCTGTGTTCAAAGACAGCGTTCAATTGACCAGACCAACGTCGGACAACCACGTTATTTCATGAAGTTACTGTGCTTTTCTGTCCTCTGACACCATTCATTCCGTTTCGGAACTCACACACACGGACCCTGCGCACACAAAAGAAACCTACCCCACGAAACGTGAACCGTAAGACATAGAACTCCTTCAACCGTGCACAGCGCAATACCAAAAGCTACAACAACAAAAGCTGCTTCATGGGATTGTGTGGGGAAACAAAGGGCGCGCGCTTGTGGGGGATAGTGGATCCAGTCAGGGGACCGCCCCAAGGTAGCCTCAGAGCGCAAATCCAGCAAAGGCACATGACTGGAATTGGAAGGCGACATCGACAGGAGCACGGGGTGGTCCAGTAGAATGGCTCTGACAAAGTTATGAGGACAAGCTGGAGCTGGAACGCAGGGATGATGAGAATGGGTATGCGAATGGCGCATTGTCTAGCAACGCGTCTTCGCACTCTCCGAGAAGCGCATTTCAGTTGCTGCTGCTGCTGTGGCTGGCGCGGCAGTCCAGCCTGCGAGGGAGTGAGCAGGATGGGTCTGCAGCGCGTTCTTTTTTCTATATTTAAGGTTGAGAGCGTCAACGCCGCCAGCCGGTCTGCCTCCCTCTCTCCCTCCCTCTGTGTTGCTGTTGTTGTTTTCTAGTGTAAGTTTACTCTGCACTTCTTTCGTATTGTGATAGTTTTTGTACTCTTGAAACACTGTATTCCTTCCTCTATCATACAAATATGGTTTCATTTATTTATTTATGTGTATATTAATATTTTAACATTTATTAATGTTAAAATGACCCACCCGTTTATTAAATTGACCTACTCTATTGTAACCATCATTAGAAAAATGGATCATCTCTAGAAACTATCATCACAAATCATGACCCTCATCCCAGCCCATGTTCTCTTTGTTTCCAGCCTTCTTCATCTCAACCCCTTGTTCCGTTCTCCCATTCTCATTTCCCCTCATTCCCCTATAGGATGGATCAATTTAGTAAATAGGTGGGTCATTTAAACATTTCTATATATATATATATATATATATTTGTTTGTTTACATGTTCTTCATTTGTAAAAATATGTTGTAAATATGTAACACCAATGATTTTTTCACATTAGTTATGGTGAATAGCATGAAGGTATGGGAACTTTTAGAAGCATTTCTTTTATTTATTCACACACACATAAGAATAAAATAAAAGAAAAGGGGGATTTATACATATATGATTTTTTTATTAGGTCAATTTGGGATTTTGTAAGTAGGGTTTAAAAGGTCAACTTAGTTATTGCAAGTATTTGTCATTTTATGTTGGTATTGTTACTATCTTTGTAAAAAAAGGACTTCTGTGATTTCAATATACATATATAAAAACAATAATGTGTGTACTTAGATACAAACAAAAGGTCTTCTGTGATTTCTTTCGTTCTTCTTCAATTGGTATTTTTGTTCTTCTAAAATTCTCCTAAAAATTATAAACACACAAATAATAGTTTGGGTTTAAGGATTTGAAAAGTAAAAATTATGTGAACAAGAAGTTTTAGGGATCACATGAAGAAAACACAAAAAATGTTATAGAAAGTCTTCATTAATCCTCAAAAAATCCTAAATTTAACAACTGAAATGCTTACTAACCATTCTGAATTGGGTAGTAGTAAACTACAACCTCTTTATAAAAAAAGAAAGAAATAGAAAAAAAAATCAAATGTGTCCAAGAATATAAATAAATTTCTCTAAACAAAGAAATATTAATTGAATCTTTCAAAGTAATCAACATCAACAAAGACCGCCATATTAACAAGTAGTTGCTTGAATAATTTTCAATTACTTTTTTTTAACGGTTTATTATTTTACTTTGACATTTACTAGTGCCTCCTACCACTTGTAGTTAAAATTATTAGTATTATTACTAAGAAAAAAAATAATACGCTTTAAAAATTCTCATTGTTCCATAAAACAACTAAATTAATAAACGTAATAATATATACACACACATACATACAAATTTTTAACATATTTGAAATATTAAAAAATAAAAATAAAAAGCAATGAACATGGAAGACATACATGTTTGTATGTATGTGGAATGGACATGGGATTTATGAAATTAATTTGAAGTTTGAAATATCAACGTATGAAATTGACTATATCGAAATCTCCCAAACAAAAAAAAATTATTGTAATATTTATTAAAGCATTTATTGTAGATACTACTGTTTTGTACTATACAAGGTGCTTGATGGTTCATATTCAAGCTTATTCTTAATTAGAAGACGATGAAAATAATCCAATATGTATGTATGTATGTATGTATGTATGTATGAGAGTGAGCACAACATAATCCATTTTCATGCTTTCATTCAATATATGTATGTTTATATATATATATATATATATATTGTTACAAATAAATAAATGATTTATAAATATTATTTCAACTGATTTGAAAATAATCGTTCAAATAAGAAATTCATAAATTTGAACCAAAAACAGAAATCTTATAATTCAATTCAATCTCAATCAATGACACAGCTATACATTGTCCATCTCATCATTGAAGGTAAAATCATAGTTTGTGTAATGAAACATGCAATAAGTTTCTCACCAATTTTAGAAATTACAGTATCCTAGAATTATACAACTTACAACACATTTCAAAAAATATACACATTCAATGGAGCAGACATTAATAAATCAGAGATAAGTACGAACTGAATGAACTAGAACTGGGTCACATGGACATCAATGCCACAATGGGTATCAATCCACACCCACAATGAAGGATATCTACCAACCCTACATTGTGACTTGAAACATGGCTTGAATAACATCCAAGTCTATACTACTATCTAAGGCTTTCAGATGTCATATATTATATGTAGACACACATGCAGACACACATGTATTTGCATGTGCATGTGTGTATATAGATATATATATATATATATATATATATGTATAATGACAATTTCAGATAGTTTCATGGTTAGAATCAGTGGATAGAATTGTTTTACCAAAGGTCAATATCTGAATGTGTAACTTGATGACTTTCAACTCTAGTGTAGTGTAAAGTTGTAGCATTCGTTGAATTTTTTTGTTACTCAACCTTGACCATATCTATAAGGTATTCATGTAGGTATGAACAATATCATTTACAAAACACACCCCATATCTCTGCTCAATTCTCTGTTTAAATGAAAAACCTGAGTGGTGAAAAAGAGGATGTGTTACATTTGATGATTGAGCGTCTCCACTTTCTTCAACATGTTTAAACTTAAACTTCAATACTATACAAATAACATACTATCTACATATTATATGTATGTATGTATGTATGTATGTATGTGTGATTTTATGTTCTTAATAAATCATGATGTCATTCTACAGTAAAGGTATATAATACCATCATCAAGTGAAAAATAACTTTTGCAAGAAAGCTCAAAGCACAACCAAAACTGTTTAGTAATTGGTATGCTTACATAGGAAAAGAATTCACCAACCAATACTAAACTGGTTGGTAAATTCTTTTTTTATGTATGCATACCAATTACATGAGTGGAGCATCTTCTAGTAAATTAATGGTTTTCCTGTTTAAATTTTCTTAAAAGATCCAATCTACAGAAAACATATAACTCTAGAGCCACACAAATGTGCTTGATACACTTTGGTATGCATGGCACTAGAGTCTTTCCACTTGGTGATGTCATCTTGTGCCTTCTAAGCCTTCTCATAATACTATGCTCAAACAAAGAAGTTTATCTTTATGTAATGCAAAAGCATCTTGTCTTATTTTATTAATCTTGACATATAAATAATTGATTAAATACATATAATAAAATAACCATACACATAACATTTACATCCACATTAAAAAAATTGAAAAAATTATAATTAAAATTTTGAATTTTAAAAACGACTTCAGTAATAATGAAATACGTTGTAAATCATATTCATTCCAAATGAACAAAAAATCTCAATTTTCTTATAACACATATCATCAAAAGATCTTAATTAATTTTTTTTAAATTAGATTTTTCCACCACACAATCAAGCAAACATTTTATACACATCCAACATGTAAACAATGAAATCAAATATTCCCATTTTTCTGAAAACACAAAAAAACTTACATGTAAAATCCTAGTTTCTATGAACATGGCCTTTTCCGTGTGGCACTGACTCCTAAATAGCTTCAAACCAAGCCCTAATTAGAATCCGTCGTCGGGAGTATCTGGAACGGTCTTCCGCCACACGACTGATTCCACTTAGGGTTTGGCAATGCCCGAGCTTGCCCGTTGCTTCGTTGCCTCGTTATTGGAGCCGAGGCTTCGCGATCACCTTCTGCGCGGCGATCGAAGCTCCTTCGCGGAATGGCCTCGCCTCGGACGCCGTGCCACACTGATTTGGGCGAGAAATCCTAAGCAAACACTGTCGTCGGAGTAGGACCCAGGAAGCTCGTGGCCGAGTCATCACCCCTTCTTTTCTCTAAAGTTTCCTTGCCTGTTGCAAAGAGATTCGTGGGGTTCTCGTAACCGCAGAACGAAGGAGTCCTTCTCCTCTGTCTCTGGCGTGTGCCAAGCGTTGGGCAAGCCAGCAGAAGTTGGCTTCAGGAACCGGCAGCGGTCTGCTTTCGTGTTCGTGAAACGCCGCCACTACGTTGTGACGGGTAATGTCTCGGACTGAGTACCAGCTCTGCGTCGCCCTCTTTCGTGCAGGAATGGGAGGGACTTAATTATTGGGTTAAGTCTCAACGACTTACTATCCCTTCCTCTGTGTCGGCCAGAGAAAAGACGAAGGATACACGTGCATTTCCTTCTTGTACTGTGTTTTTTGTGCTCTGTGTAAGCATTTGCTTGCAACCTTCCTTCTTCCGATTATCGCTAATTGGCTTTGAACTAAGTGGACATGTCGAACGATTGCAGTTTTTGACTTGAATGGCACACTCCCGGCAAGCTGAGCACGCCGAATGTGCAGATGGATGCTTGCCACGCCATAAAACAACCAACCTCCGCACTCAGGAGTCAAAAACCCTCTGAATGGCACAAGAATTATTTCAAGTTCAATGGAATTCGTATACTGGTTAGCGGGCTCTGTGAAGGTTTGGGTACCAGAGATCTCTTCTGGTTGTATGATAGAAGATGCCAACTGTGCCGCGACGATAATCGGGGAGGGACATAGTGGCTTTCACTGCAACCTAAACTAAACAAGGCCACGTACTTTGTCATTCGCAGACTACCATTTGTAAGCAGCCCAATACTTGGCAAGATTTGGTTTGCAAGGGCTGGCTTTAAATTATCGCAAACGATGCACATACGGGATCCAATGACCATGGCTAAGTCGGGGCTCTCAAGAGGAGCTATCCGCAAATTCATTACCATGGCAACCACGAATCTGCATTACTGCAAGGCCGACAGTAGGTTTTTTTGAAATACTGAAACGCGTGTCGTATTGAGAATTTCTTATGATTTGACAGATTTCCTCGCTTGTTTGGCCAAGTTGCCCTCTTATCAACAGTACAATGCAAGGTTTGAAAAAAAATCGCTTGTCTCGTCCCTGTCCTTATGACGCATCCCAGGAATGTCTGGCAGACTATCTGCAACTTGCCCACGGCTTTCTATGCTGAAAAATGGTGATTCAGCCTCCTGTCTTCGCCAAGGTGAAATTCATTGTTTGTCACTGCGAGTAACTTTTTAAGCCTTTCAGAAATCCCCTATCGCTGGGTCGCCAGAACTTGATACTGCGCGACATGATTCGTCACCGAACAACCATCATATGACATTTCAGGAAAAGAAAAGGAAAACATTCCACGCACCACTAACGGCTGTTCAGAAAACGATGAAAATAGAAATATGACGACTAACACAATTGACATGGGGCGAAGGAATTCTAACTTTAGTGAAGTAGTGTTGGAGGAGAAACAACTGGTTTGGCTAAATTGCATCAATGAGAAACAGGTGAGATATTTTTTGCAGCCGAGAACATTCTCAAAGAGTCAATCTGCTCCAATCAGACTCGAATGTTATGAGTGAGAAGCTCATGAATATTTTTCTGGTTACTCTCACCATCTAATCAGTACTCGTCCAGACTAGGACCACGGAAGACTCCAAGCCCGTCGCAAATGATCTCGTCGTAAAATCAGGCTTGAATTCGAAGCCTTCATCCATGAATGACTTTTTGACCGTCAACACACTGCTTTTCCATAGGCCTTCATCCCAAATTACATCTGCACTATCCCCATTTACAATTGAACAGTCCACGTCGTACAATAATTCATAAAAAAACGTTCACGTGTGAAAGTTGCTCACACGAAGAGCGCACGCACTTTGAATATGAGTCTTCATCACGCAGTTTTCATGCTAAACACAGGTACGTACCCAGGCTTACTTCAGCATTCGCAATTATGCGAAGGAAAGGTCGCCAGCTGCAAGACCATCTTCCACACGATGAGCAAGGTTTCAAGCTTTCTGTCAAACTACTTCGCACCCATTGCACTGGAAACAGCAAGTCCTGAGAGTTCTGCTCGGAGCAAGCCGTATGACCGAAACAGCTATCGATCATTCACAGCAATTCTCTGAGATCTGAGACATGAGAAACGCTGAGTCCGTTGTGGCATACGATGCAGCAACGCCGTGTGTAATTCAAATGAAAACCATCTTCGGCGAGGTTCAACGATGAGCGCTGATACTTTTGAACTGCTCAGCCTGTCGGTTTCGGTGGCGAGCTCCGAGTGGGACCGTATTACTAACTGACGAGCATGTCAGCTGAAGCTGCTTCCATAACTGAACTGGTGGGGGTACTAGAATGATGCGACGGATTAGCTTGCAGTCTGTGTTGGACCTGTAGGAAAAAACTGAAGCCCATTGTTGCAGTGGAGGACTCAGGATTCAACTCTCGTGGCTGTTAAATTGTGTTTGCCCTTTAAATATAGGATTCAAAATTCCTCCGGTGACTGCACTTCCGGTGCACCTACTGTGCTACCAACATGTCTTGAGTAGCACAGTAGGTGCACCGGAAGTGCACAGTATTACTGTTCATTTATTCATTGATTATTATTATTATTGTTATACATTATCTCTGTTGACACTGTGTACAGTCTTGTGGCAAGTTATGTGAGAGTCTTCAAATTTGACCTTTATCAAATGGAGACACTGAGGGAGGAGGAGGGTTTTTGTTGCTGTTGTTGTGTGAATGGAGGCTTGTGTGTTGGGCAACATAGAGATACCCAATGGAGACCTCTTCATCATTTCATGTGTACTGCTTAGAATTGGGTAAATTCAGGCTGCCTGTGAGCATCATGGAAACATCCTCACATGAGCACAAAATCAACCCAATTCTCAACCACCAGTTTAAGTATATTTATGTTTATATATATATATATATATATATAAATGAAAAGTCAGGCAGTAGGTATGAAGGCTCAACTGTAGAATGGCCACAAAAGCTGAAGATTCAGTTGGGTGGAAAAGATTGGTGTGTTCCACATTGTAATGACTAGTTTGAATAACTCAGTGGGAAGATCCATGGAAGTGGTTTTTTTATGCTCCTTGGGTATGTTGTAATGCTTTTGATCCCCTATCCAATGAACTTTTAAATATAAAACTAAGTTGCATGTTCAATAAGTTGAACATGCTCAATAAAAACTTATTGAATATGCAACAAATACATATATATATATATATATATATATGATGTGAAGAGAAAATATAAGATTAGGGGATGCTTCTATTGTAAGAAAGGTTAGAACCTAATCTTCATGAATCCTCAAGAGGGATCCATGTTTTCACATTCTTTAATCATAAAGACACCAATAACTTTTGGGCCCCAAAGTACATGAGTCTTTGTGCCAAAATATAGCACCTAATGGAAACCCACTTCTTCCTTTATCTACAGAAACATGACACTGCATGGATCAATTGCATGTGTACCTTGCCTCCATCCTTCATTTAAATCAATATCTCATTCATATTTTATTTATCCCAGTTTTACACACAAGGAGTGGTCCTCACTCAATGACTTGTTCAACTGTGAAACCATCTGGCCCCTCTTTTGCAACAAAATTCACACATGAACATTTATATTTCACTTAGAACATGCTTGGAAAACACACAATGAGGTCTTGAGTCCAATATGGCCGTTGGTGTTGTCTTTATCCCAAATAAAAATTAATTAAAAGGATAGAGCCACAAGCCCATCATAAAGTGATACTTGAACAAGCACCAAATAACCACATTGGCATAACAAAAACAGGTGTGGTTTACTTTTATCCTTCATTATATTTTATAGTTGTGTGAATAGTTTTAAATATAAGCTTCTAGAGAATAGGAGTTGCCAAAGACAGGAATTCTATTGTTCCATTGCATATCGTGTGTTTGCTTGTACAAATCCGTAAGTGAGTACAATCAAAGACTTATTCTTGTATTTGACTTGAGCTTATAGATTTCAAGACCTATGTGGGAAATTATTTACATGAGCCCATAAAGTTGCTTACAAGGTGTAGTGAATTTTAAAAACTATTATCCTATCATATTATATTACCTTCAATGTTTTCAATAAACTTCTTTCCTATAATGCAAGCATATATATATATATATATATATATTTGTATATATGTGTACATACATAAATACAAGTATGTGTAAATAAGAACAAATCAAGTTTTTATTTGAATTTGTATTATTTTTTTACTTTGGTTATAAATGGTGTGGTCTCAGCAAAAATCTTTGAAGGAATAGGTATGTAATTTGCATGTATTCTTCTATCATATTTTAAACTTCAATAATAATGCTTTAAAATTTTTACAGTGTAATAGATTTGATTTGATTATTTATCTTAATATAATAAAAAATATTCATGGTGATTAATAAAACATTCTATCTTGGAAAAAATGAAAATAAATAAATAAATAAATTATTCTTACTTAAGATATATATTCTTGGTATTATTTTGTGTATTATTTCTTAGACTCCTCTATGTATTTATCTAATATAATAAATTATATGTAAAAGTCTCTAAATTCTTCATTATGTTAGTTATAAATTTATTTTTCATTTTATTAATCTAACCGTAAATTTTTTAATCAATTTTTTTAATATATATATATATATATATATATATATATATATATATATATATATATATATATATATATATATATATATATATATATATATATATATATATAAAATATTTATGCATTGACTACCAATATTACTATAAAAGATTGTATTAAGCACAATAATAAGAAACCTATTAAGGTTCTATTGTTGGTTAATAAAAAAATGTAGGATTTTAGATAGGAAAAGCAAATAAATTTGGATGTCTTCAATAAAGTAAAAGAAATAAATAATAATAAAAAAAACCTCTCAAATACACCAAATTAATTTTTTGACATAGTTTATTGGTACATTTGTTTTAATACTTTCTATTAAAAGTTTAATTATTAACCTCGTTAAATAGACTCATCACAGCAATTTGTCAAAGGCTTAACAAAGTTTAATGGCATATCATTAATTTTGAATTTCAAATGTTCTTTAGATTAAAGTTTGCCTTATGCACTTACCTATGTAGAATTGGTAGTTGTTGGATTCTTTTAATAGTATTATTACAAGATTTTTTAAATTTTTGTTGATAAATAAAATAATTTTATAGATTCTTCTTTATTAGATTTGTCAAAAATAATGTCAAAATTGTGTATTCTTGATTTTTAAATATTTAATTTTGAATATATGTAAAAGCAACCAAGATGCAAGAAATAAGATTTCTATTGGTAGTAGCAATAATATTTTTTATTAGATTATTCTAATATTAATTGATTAAAAAAATATTTGGCTTTCAAATAGATACAAAGAGTTATAATGGTACTCTTGATTATTAGACAAGATAAAGCCTTGATATAAGTATTTATAAGATAATATTTTAAGAAAAACTAATAGAATTTTATAAAATTCTGAAATAAAAAATTCAAATATATTTATTTCTTATTGATATCTTTTTCTTTGGGTCGTATAGTATCTAATTTTTATATTAGAATTAACAATAGTACAAGTTTTAATAAATTGTGCTATTGATTTTTATTTTTATTTTTTTTGTTGTCTATGCTGAAACTATATATATTAAAATTTTATTAGAAAATGTTAAATTAAAGAAATAATTTTAAATTTTGCATATAGATACTTTTTGTTATAATATTCTAGATAGAAACACACTCATTAAAAAAATGACAATAAAAATAAGATTTTATTGTGGTTGAAGAACAAAATCTCAACTAAATTATTTTGTATAGAATTTACAAAAAATACTAATCAAAAAATTACATAACTAAAATGCCTATAAATAAATAAAGAAAGAAAAATATTATATAAGAAATATATCCTAATATCAAAATAGTATCAAAATAATATCAATACAATATCAAAACTCAAATACAACCATTATTTATCAGAAAACAATTTATGTCCTAAAACTTGGTCCAACAAGAGCAACAATTGTACAATAAAAATAGGTCTCTTATTTACTATAAAAAGTCCTTCTACACATAGTATTTTAGTCTTTATTATTGTACAAGGATTGTTTGAACTTTCTAATACACAAAATAATAAAAGATTTTTGCAATAGAATAGAAATAAGAATTCTCAATAATCAAAATAAAATATTGATGCATGTTTAAAGTACTAATTTTAAAAAAAAATATTTATTAGTAAAAATTTATTTAGAATTAAAAACGAAAAATTTGAAAACTCTATTTTGGATGATACATCATGTTCTCTACATCAAATAATAATATTAATAATAATAATATTCTATACAACATACCTTTTGTCTCTTGTTCTTGAAATGAATTTTCTTAAGTAAGATTGCTTAAAATTTTATTGAAAAAAATAAATAAATAAAATTAGAGATCATAAAATAGAAATATAAATAAAGTAAAAAAACATATTTGATGTTCTTCAACTAAAATAACTATATTGGTTTTTAAGGTTTTAGTTAAATTTAATCAAAATTTTATAAACATGTTTTAAAATTATTAAATTTATTCGGTATGTAGGAATAATTTGAAATTCTAATAAATTGTTGTAAAATCACATATAAAAGCAATTAATAAATTCCAATTTAAATAGTTTTAAGAAAAATACATGATTTAGAAAAGATTTTTAAAAGTACAAAAAGTTAACATTTAATTATTTTACATTACTTTTTTATTAAAGCGTGGTAGTGCTTATATGCCAGATTTATTATAGTACATGCGTGTAGATCTTTAAACACTTTTATATAAAAATGTTTGGACAGTACATCATAAAAATAAGTGAACTCCTTGTGATGCTGTTGAGGGTTCATCCATCCATCTATCCATCCGGATGAACATGGATGAATGAAATAGAGAAGACGAACAGAGGATGAGAATGGCGATTGGAGGGAGGGCAGTGGGAATAGGGCGGAGCCATGTTCCTGAGCATGAACGAAACTTTGATAGGCATGAAATGCGAGGTCTGTGGACCTGCTGCGGCTCCGGTCAATGTACCTGCACATCCAATTATAAAATGATTGTAAGAGGAAGCCTTAAAAACAATAACAACAACAATGACACCCGATTCTGTTGAATGATTGACCACGGAGAGAGAGCACTGAGTCAAAATAAAAATAATAAAAAATAAAAAATAAAAAAAAACCCCATTGAGATGACCTCATGAATCAGAGCACTCTTTCCATGTCTTGTTTTCTGGCTTTCTCATCCTACCGGTTTCCTTTTATTCCTTCTTTTTTTTTTTTTTTCTTTCAGCTTTTTGATTTGGTTGTTAGTTGGGTTTGTTTGTTTCGGAGGAGTTGGGCTGTGGTTAGCCAGACATCAAACAGAAATCGCTTGCCGAACCAGAAGTCCGAGAGAGAATTTAGGGGGAACTAAAGCCTGAGGGAATTTATACTGGATTTATTCTTTTCGTCTCATTGCGATTCTTCCCTTCCTTTTGGACAGTATTTGAGCAAAAAATAATTTCGCAGATCAGTAAATGGGGATTGTCTCTGTGTGCGTCTGCGTGGATGCCTTTTTTCTGATGTATTTGAGTCTATACTTTCGGTCAGAATTCAATTATGAAGCGAAAATTCAACGTTACTGAGCAGAAAGGATGTCCAGGAAGCAACCCACCGGAAGGCGCTGTTGTGGCTATACCCGTATGGCGGAGTTCCAGCTGCTGGGCTGGGCTGGAGTCATGGGATGTCCTGGTGATCCTGCCAAGACAAGCTACCTCTGCTTTCGTTTCTGAATTTCTGGGATCGACCACCTTTTCTTTCCTTGAACCTGGGATTCGGTGGTGGTCTAGTTGGCGAACACGTCAGTCGGTGTGTGTTGGTGGTCCGGTGGACCGATGTGCTCAAGAGCGCGGAACGATTGCAAGTAGGCAGTTGGGTCTTATACATGTACTGCCATACACTGTGTATGTAGTGGAATTTGGAGGACCTGATATATTCTGTTTGCTTTACTTTAGCCCTGGGCATCCGACCGAGTAGCAATGAAGTTTCGCAAGTCTGGGCACTACGTCATGCTTGGCAAGCTTGGAGCCGAAGCTTTCGTTAGCGTTCACATCCGCGGAGAGGTTTGGGGTGAACCACGACGGCCTGAGCTACAGAATCATGCTTTTTAGAGGACATCTAAAAGTAGCTCGGTGACGAGTTCTTCCAGTCTGCACTGACTAATTTCTGTGCAAATCCTGGTTACAGCCACACCAAGCTGGGAGTGAGCTTGGGTCTTTGATTTTATGTCAGAAACCTGATGCAGCTGAAATAGTCAGCTGGTTATTGCTGGACCAGCTCCTGCAGGGTGTGATAGACGTGGACCTGCTGGTTCCTTGAATGGTGTCAATAGTGTAGTTTTTTTGGAATCAGAACTGACTCAAAGCACACCTACGCACGCGCACCGCACTCACCATGAACTAGTTCAGTTCACACTTACGTCGGGACTGATTATTTTGGTCAACCACCCACAAGCATGGGTGTGAAGTAGTGCCGATTAAAGATTCGCTTCGTAAGATTCCCTGGTTCATGGCCGGAGCAGAAGCTGCAATTCACATATCCAGCAACTTCCATGTTGCGTGTGGTGTGCGAGATAGGGATTGCTAACGCTGGCGAAGCGCTCCGCTTGTATGTTGAGCTGTGGGTTTAGGAGGTTTTTAACACATCTTTGAGCCAACTTGACTATTCTTGATGAGAGCCGCTAACCGGCCTATTCGTGAGCCTAGATTTCTGAACTCATGTAGAATAATTTCATCGTGGCACAATCGAATGACTGTAATCCAGAAACCAAGGACGTAGGTTAAGTCGCAAGGGGATGAGGTGATCGTTGTGGCGTTGCTTTCAAGAGTTCCGGACATTTTATCTTCGGGTACTCTATGAACATTTAAATGGTGGTCAGGAAGAGAAGGAATCAAGCAAGAACTGATTACAGTAGCAAAACTAGGTGAGGATGACTCCTGATAAAGCGTCAAACAAGCTCTAACTCTTTGTAGTCAAGCTTACGTCAGTTCCACAGTATTTAGGAAATTTTGAACTTGATTGAGATATGTCAACCGTGAGTCACTTCTTGAACAGCTAGTCCTTGAAAGTACAAATCAATGGAATCGACATTGCCAGGACTTCTTCCTTCTCAACAGCCTAGTTCGTCTATTTTCCATAAAAGTCAAGTTCATCTGAGGTCTTGTAATGGTACCGTGGAGGATTTGTTTATTGAAAGCGGGTTGCGGACCTTCGATGATAGAAGAGAACAAGAAGTAGGAGTTGACTGATGCTGAATTATTTAGATTCGTGAAAGTACAGGTAGATTAGACTTTATGAGGGGACGTAGTTCCCCCGGGCAAGTTCACCTTACAATTGATGTGCCCCGGTTCACGACCAAAATTCGAGGTGTACTGAAAAGTAGTACTCTCCCCTGTCAGAACGCAATTGACTTCAACTTTCAGTGACCACTTGAAGTTTCCCGTGCTCGATCGAGTAAGCTCCATTGCTAGAAAACTCTCATTTCTCATTTCAAAGACTGAAATTTCTGCACCGCTCTGGGGCTCTCAGTTTCTTGAGCTCCACACTTTACAAATTAGTATTCAACTATCCTTGTCCAGTATATCCAGTCGGATCAGTATTTGCTTGATCAAAGATAAGGCTGAAGTAGTCCCGCTTGTACAGGAAAGTAAGAGCTTACATTAGAGATGTAACGAACTCCAGTCGCGGCATGTAGTCGAGGTCTATATTACTGATTTTTCAGCAAATATTCGGCCTTGGAAGTGACGGGTAGTATAAGACAGTTTATTAAAACATTTAAAGCATGTAGCATGCAGTATTGATTCTTAACAAGCGGTGATTGATGGGTTTTTGTTAGAGATTACCAACTGGCTTCAAGTTCCAGCGTTGGAATCGAATTGTCGAAGTCCATGCCGTTCGTTAATTGTCACGTGTCTCGATGGTCATGCTACCCTTATTTATCAAGTTGGTTGCAGGGCTATGATATGGTAATGGTACAAACCTCGTCGCCAATTCTGAGTGTCTGTTAGGGCCATGTGATCCCCGGAGAAGCTTGCGTTGTGGACAGTCTCGTTGAAATCTACCAGCAGGTACATTTATTCTCGTGATGTTCAAAACTTATTAGAGCTGTGTGGTGACTTTTTGAGTTAATTTGTTTATTTGAGTGTCGAAAATTGGTTGGCATTTGACGCGTTTGGAGCTCATATCAAAGACTACTGTCAGGAGACAATAATGAGCATCTGGTTATCTAAAGGAATTTATCTGAGGATAAGGGACAACGTTACGTGATCATGGCAGAGAGACTAGCTCTGGATGAGGAAGGAGGAGACGACACTGGCTCTAACAGAGAGAGCAGCTTCCTGAGTCAAGATGAGTTCCAAAGAAAATCTGAACGTAGCGGCCGCGAAGTAGCATCACCAGTGAACTCCACCGGAATAGCAGGACTTCAATTGAACTTTGACTTGGTAACTATGTCTCCGAATCCTGCCATGAATCCATTCTTGGTTGATTCGTCTAGCTACGCAGCTGAGTCTCCATGGATGGCGTTGCGGGAGTTAGAACAGCAACGAACCGCGACGTCCCAATCGCACAGCAGTCACGACGTCGGTGTGCGCCAGGGATGTGAATATGCGAAAGAGATGGCGAGAACTCCATCAGACACAATTTTGCATGCAGAATTAGAAACGGACTGGTTTCGTAGTAGCGATAATCACTTCGGACCCGAATGTGCAGCGTCACTTTCGGAAGATATTAAAATAGGTAGCACTCACCCAGGACATGGTAACATTCAGGAAGCAGGAATGCGCCATGCGCAGGGGGAAGATATGGTAGAGAGTAGAATGGACAGAGAATCGTCATCGCCTTTCATGGCAGTTCATGAAGCAGATGGATCTGCAGCAACACAGCCTAACAATGTTGAACTATCTCAAAACTCGTCTTTGTCTTTGTCGGGCTCTGGCGGCGACAGCGACGAGGAGTGGGTCCGAAATGCGGTTGTCAGCAGTGAAGCTGGTGAGAGAAGTGGAAAGAGAAAATCTCCGAATTCTTCAGCAACAGGGGAATTCAGGGAGGCCGACTTCGACAAGCCGTCGTCGGATGCCGCTGAGCTCATGCAAAGTAAATATTCAGAATCAGCAACGTAAGCACAAGACAACCTCTAAATGTATGCATGAGGTTAGATTCAAGTGTCTACGTTGTCCGCTTGGAGTATTGTTGGAATCGTAGACTCGCACAGTATGAAATATAACAAATGGTGTTTACTGCGATGGAATGACAGGCTCAGGAGGAGAAAGAAGAATGTGAAGACGCTGCGAAAGCCTATATATGCCATTGAAACTCGCACGGATGTTGATATAATGGACGATGGCTTTAAGTGGCGCAAGTACGGCCAGAAAGCTGTCAAAAACAGCCCTTATCCCAGGTACATCATGTCGATACCCTTCTTATCATGACAGTAAGATCGAATATGCCTCATGTCGGGACGGGACAGATTGAAATCATTTGGATTTGGATGCGGCAGAAACTACTACCGATGCACCACCCCGCAATGTCCAGTGCGGAAGAGAGTGGAGCGCTCATGCGAAGACTCAGGGCTGGTCATCACAACATACGAAGGCACTCACACGCATCAGACGCCAGGTTTATTCAGCCATCCCTCGGCGGCTTCCGGACACGGCTTGCCTGAAAGCAAAAACCCACTTGGCCATGGATTTGAACACTTCCAGATCCCTCGCAGTCCGAGTCTGTTACCCCACCCTACTGAGGTCTCCGCTCTTGCAGTTCTGCAACACATGAGGATCATGCAACAACTCCAGGACATGTCCCAACAGCAGATCGCTCCTCCCGATCCGCTGCTCGCTGGGAGCTTGCAGCAGGAGAGCCTTCTCAGAGCTCAACAGTTTCTGGGCTTATACGACCACCCCACAGGTGCCATCGATAGGGAGTCCTTCCAGTATCTTCCGCATGCGAGAGGTTCGGTTAGCCACGCACCTTCACCATATCCAAGTAGACCAAGCTTTCATCCGACCTCTGAAACGATTCTGGATCGAATGCACATGTTGATCACACCGCAGCACATGCGATCCCGAGGGACCCCTGAGCAATCCCTTCACCCTGCGACAATGGATCTAGATTATCATGGCTATCAGCACCAGATGACGAGTTCGCCGTCTCAATGCGATGATCTAGTACGCAGGGTGTTGGAAGCCGAAGAGGAAGGACCAGTCGATGTCGACGTTCGAGATGGAAGCTTGTCGAGTGATGCAAAATCTGACCCTGCATCGGCGAGCTCAGAAACAAGGACCGCTACCCAGTCCGATTTCGTGACCCAACTTCAAACTGAGTTGCGGAACCGAATGGAGAAAACCTTTCTGCCATCACCGACGCCGCCGCCGCCGAAGGGATCAGTGAGACGGCGGTGGAGCAAGACAATGCGAAACAGGGGTTGCGAGGAGTGACGACTTGGAGATCGCATCCACGGTGCTATCTACAGTCGCAGCCCAGCCATCTAACCATTGAATGTTAAAAAAACATAAGGCTTGCGGAGCTTGCAGCAGTAGCCAGAGGCCATGAGGCCATGAGGCCATGAGGTAGAAGTGCCCACAACAACAATGCATTCCTCGACACATGAGAAAATCTTCTCGGTCGTGAATTCCAAGGCGGCTTTTCCTTCTAGATTTGGAAAGAACGCATCTGTGTATACAGTGTAATTGGGTCGTTTCCTACAAGAGATTATTAATATATACCTTCTGTTGGAAATCCATCTTTCCACTTGGTGTGTCAAAGTGTGTATTCTATTTGCTTCTGTCATGTCAGTGGAAGATGTCATTCTGCTGGAGCCAGCTTGTGGGAAACTAGACCAACTGGCAACCAATGCTATTTTTTGAGATTTGAATGTTTTGAGTTTCGTCTTGGTTGTAAACTTAAGCTATGAAAAATCATTTTTACCTGAATTTGGAATTTCTATTTGCTTTGTACTGTTTGCTTACATTTAAAATAATAAAAAATTACACAAGTTATTGAATACAATACACATGATTGTTACAATCATCTACTCCATAACAACAAACATTTAGATCCTAAATTTTAGGAAGACTTTGAAGTTTTAAAAGAGGACATGATCTACGACCCAAAATAGTAATGAGAAATGGATCCATATAAATTCTTCAGAAAAAAACCCCATTAATCTGTTCCTCTAATTAATCCTTTTCCTAGTGATGATATACTCTTCTATATCCAAGTTGAATCACAATTAAATGGGTTACCCGTTACCTCTAATTGGCATTTTAACGACACAGGTTTGGGACCCAAACAAGAGTTTTTATTAATGAAAAAAATACCTGAAGTAATATTAAATATAGCAAAGTTGATCATTTACTTCTACATATAGATGCCACTATAAAAGCATTTGAATAAGACCCAAGTAGTTACCAAATGTTTTCATAGTCTACAATCTATATGATAACAATTGAATTCTCTATTAACTTTTATAACATCAATTGAATTTGTAGAATAATATTTTATTTTTGTCAATTAAATTTAGAAAATAAAATAAAAATAAAACGTCAACCAAGTACCTAACCTCTAAACTATAAAATAGTAAATCATCATATATAAAAAAATTGTAGTGACCCTCTATCATATCCAAAGTCCAAACTTGTTCTATTTCTAGTTCTAATTCTATACCCAAACCCTAATTTCTACAACCGCTTGCCAATTTCCATATCACTCATCCGTGAACATGTTCCAGGAAATGACGAACCCCCTTGCATGGACAGAAACGTCATGAGATATTGATGAATGAAAAGCGTTTTAGGGTTTCGTTGGAGACTTTTCTGAAGCCCTAACTCTACTTAAGCCTCCCTCCCTCCTATATGATGCACAGTCTCTTCGCTTTGTTTACGGTTTTTCCTCGTGTGTGTGGCAAACAATCGTTGCGTGTTATAATAGACCCACTCTCTTCTGAGGTCTGCGAATTTCATGATGTTTCGACAAGAGGTGGTTGGTCGTCTCTCTCTTTCTGTAAGGGAGTTTTCTTTCTGCTGTATGACGTTTCTCTGATCCTTATTCTACTTGTACATCGTGTGTGGAAGAGGTTGTTGACACAATTGTACTGTTAAAGTGTTAGCCAAGATTTGACCGATCGGTGCCCTGAACGTTGAAAGTGAGTTCCGGGATATGATGATATTTATTCGCCTTGCCCGAATGTATCCTCGTGATACATCATGTGGGCTGCGATACATGATTTGCACGTCAGTCTGATCCCTATGTATCCTGGTCCCTAAGTTGTTTGTTATAGTAGGTGGTGAGTTTGGACGTGATGATGAGAAATTGTCGCCCCAGTCCTACCCGAACCCATAATGTGTTCGCTGAGGATTGACTATTTTTGAATCTGATTAAATTGTACTCTTGGGAATGGTACTCGCCAGATGAACAGTGAACCAGAACTTCTCCTTTAGCGCCAGTCACTGACCTAATGGTTTGTGTGCTTGACCGCACTGTTTGAATCAAATAATGCCTAGTGCTTCATATTGTGAATAAATCCAGCACATCTGTCACTGTCAAGAGCTGGAGTTTACCTCCTCACATTGACTCCTCCAAAATTGTGCAATATCGACACCGGTGCCTCGCTCCGGAACTGTAGCCAGCTCCAGTTAGTCTATGTATGGGGCGATCACTATATTTTCATGACACTACACTTTTGGTCAGTTAATCTATTCACGCATGATGCCTACGTCCTTCTATGACTTATCTTGGATTTGTTTCCGGGAGAAACGCGACAGAGGCCGTGCATCATGTGCACCTGAAGCTTACTCGGTTCCATACAGGTATTGCCAAATGAGGCGTATGATTGATAAGTAATTGTTGCAGTTTCTGGAATTCTGCGCAACCCAGGATCCGTTTCTGCAGTTTCCTTTGCAGTCTACCGAGTTGACAGTGGGGAGTAAAGTATCTGCCTCGATAGTGTTAAGTGTCCTGATAATGAAGTGGAAGTCTCTTCAGAAGTCTCCCGCCAAAAGTGAACATTATCTTCTGAACATACAGATTAAAGTTTGTATCTTTAGAGAATATATCTTTGATACTATTCAGTTTTTAGATGAAAAAGTAGAAATGATTTCACCATTGTACAAGTTTATTAAGAAAATTGATTCTGTAATGAAGCAACGGTTACAAAACATTTCTTAGATTGTAAATTATACTTGACGTAGGTATCATGTATATCAACTTTCTATTCTTAGTTGAATATGCCTCATAAACAAATAAAAAAGAACAAATATATATATATATATATATATATATATCTTGAGAAATGTTAAATCAATCCTACTTGATATATCAGCCCCACCATCAAAACTTACAATGTATCACTGTTCCTTGTTCCTATTCCCAACTCCGTTCCCATCTCCAGCCTGCATCCTCCGTCTTGACCCTTGTCCCCACCCCTATCCTGGTTCTCAATCCCTACCCTTCCAAATGATGGTCTTTCTTCTAAGGCCGTTTGTTATCAGCACACCACATACATCATATTCAACAAAAATGTGCACTTGATATGTAGGCAAGCAAGTGGAGAGAGTCATGAATGTGAGGTTAGATGTGGTGCTTCCAATGCTGTTTTGAAGCAAAGTATGGTTTGAATATGTGTGCGTTGTGTAATTTGTTACTACAAGTATGAAATCCTAATGGTCTGTAGCAAAGAACATGAACATGTACTTAAAAAAGTATGTCATTCTTGCATCATCTTAAACTCTTCTACAGTTGCATGTGCCAGGTTAAACAAGAGCGTGCAAGGAGTCTCACTACATAAGAAATGATGCATGCAATGCACCTTGAGTTGATAGATAGAACAAGGGTTGGAAGTATCTTGTGTACAAATCAACACTAATTTCATCAAAAAGACAGTAAGATTAGGAGAGGGTGACGTAAAATTGAGCCCTTGACACATAGCCCCTGGGTTTGATAAATTGCAACAATAGGGGATTCAGTAGTATATCTGTATCCAAGTTTTGCATATATCCATTGTGAAGCGAATCAAATAATTCCAATTCGGGATTCAATTACAAGGTGAGTGCAACTTTAAATGAAGATGCTAATAACGAACAACCTTGGAAGGATTGGGTATCTTGTCAAGCTCTTATCTAATAATTAACAACCTTGGAAGAAACTTACACACACACAGTCCACTGTTAGGCGGGTAGGGATGGAAGATGGGATTGAAAAAGGGAATGAGATATTAATATAGAAGAAGAGGTTGGAAATGAGAAAAAGATATTTTTAATTGGGAAGGCGCTTGAAACAAAAATGACACATTGATATAGGGAATGAGGACCCACTGCTAGTTAAGATGGCGGGATTAAGATAATAGCAAGTAGGGTTGATTTAACATTTACCTTTATATGTATATAGATATATTTCAATACAAAATACACATTGAAAACTATAATTCTTTATAATTATAAAGGGGACATTTGTAGTATATGATTTTATCCAATTTTTTGACTAGTTCATTATTTAAAAAATCAAAATTTAAATTTAAAATTTAGTATAAAAATATATTTATCATAAATATTTTAGCAATTAATTAATTATAGTATGTGTCCAATTGTAATTTGCTCATATCATCTCATAGATAGTTCTTTTAACTACAATTTGTACAACAATGCTAATATGAGCAAAAAAATGTTATTGCTCCATATTTTTATTATTGAGTTTCTAATTGTGATCTCTCCACATCCATCACATTTGTGCCAATTGCAATTTTATAGATGTATGTGTGAAAAGTTCATTTCTGCATTGGAAACACTGTTGACATTGTAGACGCCTACAAGTGAATTTTAGTTTCAAAAATATCTCCACAAAATCTCCTCTATGCCTACAAACTCTGCATGAAATGATCGTTACCTCACATTTATCTCCATAAGAAACTTCACTTGAAACATCTGCAGCCAGCTAACCAATAGAAAGGTCTGTTTATCACAATTCCCATCCTCATTACGTGGATGTAATTTGTAACTCACTTATCAGTGTACATTCAAAAAATGAGTTGTCCCCTCGTATTGTTGTATGTTTCTAAGTAAAAAGTCAATATTTAGAGGTTCAGTGTGCAGAGTTAGAAGCACACTAGGTCCAGACTGTCATAGGAACCAGGATCGAAGGTACTATCTGAAATGCCAAATGCTACATTAAAGCACGTATGCCATAAGCATGCAGGAAAGTGAACCTAAAAGTTGCAAGTCTTGAAGAATATTCAGTCACATCCCCGTTGTGCCCCATTTCACCATCAGGGCACATTTAAAGAGTAGGTGCAGAACGGAACATTACTACAGACATGCCAGGGATACGATAGACATTGATAAACCTGTTTTTGATTAAAAATTAGAGATGAAGTGTCAATTTTGCTGAAGACTGATTCAATTTACGATAGACAAACCTCTAATCGGTTTCTTCTATGACGAGTGCTGCATTGTGATAAGTCAAAAACTATTAATGTGAAGTCGACGTTGCACTGACTGGTAAAAGTTATATAATACAAGCAAGAATCGTAACCTGTGCTGTTTATCGAATAAAGTAGGATCGGCATTCGTATCACGTTGTCCTTACAAAAGAGGAAACGAAAGAAAAGTCTAGCAAATACAACCAGATCAGATCTGTGTGCAGTAATCAATCTTACACCAATTCTACTACCCAGTCAAATTCATCTTTGGATACACCCATTTGTAAGGTTGTCAGGGCTTCATAAAGCTCTTGTGATACTCTTCCCACAGCTCCATTATTGTACTGCACCCTGTAGAGCAGTACCCAGAAGTTCAAGGTAAAAATAGTGCACAAGTATGAATTAGCTTGTTAGCAGAATGTAGGTCAAGTCACACGTAAAGCAACAACGTAAGTAAGCAGCATCATGAACCAAGGGAGCAAAAGAAATCTACAATATGATTCCACATACCCCATGAATTTATGTGAGGAATAAAACTGAAAACTCAAGATTGAGCAACAATGACGTTACCTGTTTGTGCCATGAGTGATGCTTCCTACGGGATTTACAACCACAGCCGTTCCAGTGCAAAACACCTCATCGGCAGCTAGCAGTTCATCCACCGACACTGGTCGCTCATTTACCTGTTTAAAAAATCTTTTTGTACTGAGCAAATATCATGTCCACAATAATAAAAGAGAAAGGGTTCCGACCAGATATTATAAGCTATGAGGAGTTTGATTGCATAAGCATCAGAGCACGTGTACTTTTACGTAACAAACAAAGTAACATTGTAATCCATTTCTACAAGAGACGAAGAAAATACCTCATAACCGCGACTGCGTGCTAACTGAATAATGCTCTTTCTTGTGATTCCCGGCAGGATCGTTCCAGCCAATTCAGGAGTTGAGATCACTTTGCCCTGCAAGACATTTTTAACTTATTTAGCTAATAAAAATGTCAAGTTTTCTGTTCCACTTTAAATGGATATGTTCAGCACCTTAGTCCATATACACAATATCACCATAATCACCTGGTTCGGCCACCCGCAGCTGGCAAGATTCATACTGCAATGCATAAACTGCAAAAAAATAAAAGTTCATTCCACAAACCTTGACCATGAATATGTTGCAAGACGAGACTTCCTCCACATACTTGTTCTCTATTGCGTCTAGGTACAAGACATCTGAATAGCCGTTCCCTTTAGCCATCAGTTGAGTCTTCAGCACCTGCATTCATAGTATTAGGAGTTCCAGTTACATCTTCTGTAGAAAAATGCACGGATCTGCTGGAGTCTAAAAATATGGCTCTAAGATCCCACAACATATTGCTCCCATAAACATGAAACTCACTGCTCCAACTTACTGGGGCATAATTGGATATAGTTTTTACTCCACCAGTTCCACCAGGAGCAGCACGATGGAAATAAGTCTCTACTTTCAGGTCAATTGGAGATAAGCCCCCCTGTCACAAATGCATGCGCAAAATCCATATTGGTGAGGAAAACAAAATTGTCCAGGAAAAAAAGATTGGAAAAAACTGCCACCAACAAGAACAGCTAGCTATAGATTGATCAACAATCAAACCATCTTGCTAAACAACCAATTCATATTACGATTAAAAGTAAACATGCACAAGCCGTGAGTGCAGAGCATAGAGTCTGTCGAAATGCCCAGATCACTAACCTTGAAATATGTTCCAACAGGAGATACATAAATTAGAAAGGTATATTCTGGTGCAGGTGCTAAGCCCAAAATAGGGCCAGTGCCAATGAGCAAGGGACGGATGTAAAGTGATCCCTTGCCTGTCGGGGGCACCTGTCAAAATAGTACCAAGCCCAACATATTAATGTTGATATTCGAACATCTTCAAATCACATCAAAATTACTAAACAAAGCCCTTCGCCGGCGCTACAGTACTGCAAGGAAGTGGTATTAACAATGCTTGTATCAAGAAAGACACACAGACTGGTAGACCAGTTGACATATGTATCCCTGATATTCCAATATAGAGGAATTCACACTCGAATTCACACTTCAATAAGTATAGGGCAATTACAACTTGAAAAAGGCCAGGTTATCCACTCGAATCCCAATGGTGCACTTTCATCAAAACTACCAACCAGATCACAATACTTCCTCATACATCTGAAGATACAAATATAAACTTTCGAGAACATTCAACAACAGAGCCAGATCCTTAAGAGCTGAAATAAGTGATCAACAGTGTCAACCAGGCTAGAACTGTACCCAACGTTTGTTTGCCAGAACCGTTTTTTTCACAGCATCAACAAATGTGTCAACATCTGGGGCAGGCATGCTCATCCGCTCAGCCCCATTTATCATACGCATGGCATTCTCCTCTGGACGGAAAATTAATATGCGATCATCAGCTGTCCTATATGCCTTCATACCTTCAAACACACCCTGTTTTCCGTTCACCACGTTAAACTTTAGTCATTTCAGATTTAGAGTCTATTGATTCGGTTATATTCACCTATCTTGAATATATACAATATGTAGTTTCAAGAAATTTGAGACTGTTTTAGTCGCTAATGTCTGAAATCCTACAGGTCATAACATGCCCGCAGCAATGTTCAAGATATCTTCTCAAGGAATCTTTGAAAAATACATCAAAAAGTGCAAACACCGAGAAAAACGAAAAAATTACAAGACACTGTTAGTGTGTACAAAATGACATTAACTCGAAACCGAAAAAATCGTCATGGGACTGGAGAGTGCGGCATGGTTTAAATACATACTGCATCACTACAGAATTCGTACATTCAAAATCGAATGAAGCTATAATTTAAATATGTTACTGACACACACAGTCCTACTCATGATCAGCTCACCTGTCCATAATTTAACACTCCAGCAGATGGACTGACTTCCAAATTCCCAAACGGTCGTAGCTGTCCTTTTTGCCAATTGCCCTCTAGGTCGCCCTTCATAACAAACATGAAATCAGTTGGACGCAGACCAAAACCAAAATTGTCCCAGTCGATCCCTTCCAATGTATCCAAGTCACTGCCATACAATCCCACATACCCAACGTATTACAAGATAAATCCAAAAAATAATCAGCACAGTGCATACCACTCCCAGTTAAAAATTAAACCTCAATTTTCTATATTCCTAATAAATATTCCTGTGAACAAACATAAAACCTACAAGTACATTGACTTCAGTTCTACCTCAATGTCAAGAGGAGCATTGGAAGGCAGGGTGTCGAAAACACAAAAACTTTGTCGAATACACCAACCGGCAAACACCTCTAGCTTTCTAACTGCATTGTTCTAAAAGGTACTTCTGGTCTAAATTGCTAAGTCGCTAGTCTTCCGACAACTTTAAGTTTGTCATCAACACTGTTCGGGTTCAAATCACTAGGAGAATCAGGTCCTATCAATTTCATGATAAATTTTTAGAAGGTGGACGCTTGTGTACTAAGCGGTTTGGCTAGATAACGTTGGGTTCTGAAAGAATTAAATGTATGGCTCGAATATATTAAGCGTACCTAGTCTCCTACAGGTGCGCATTACTTTTGCACGCGGGCATTCAAGCATCACAGGAAATGGTCAACATAACACACTAACAACCAGTAATCCACATACCAGTAGATGTCTGCAGAGATGTGAAAATTCGCACCTGGTTTGGTTCAGAGCATCTGCTACTGCATGCAATTGCTGCACTTTCGATCCGCGTACATGGTAGGTTGAGTTATGCGACAACGAAGACCTAAGCCTCTCCTCTGTCTGCAAGCAGAAATACGAATCCAAAGTCAATCGCAGCTGTGTCATTTCAAAGAGACAAAAACAGTACTGAAGACGATAATAAAGTCAAAATCAGGACAATAAACTCACAACAAGTTGACAATAACACTGTTCGACCAAAAATTTAGAAACTACCATCGGGTTTAACTTCTCATCTCCTTATGATCGGTAAACACATCAACATGCTGGCTTGAGAAAGAAAAATCAACCTGGACAAGAAGCTAATTCCGGAAAATTCAGAAAAGACTTAAACACTTGTCCAAACTTTCTCAAAAAAGTAATCAAAAATAAAAATGAAAATGAAAATGAAAATGAAGTCAAGCGTGCAAAACGATTCAAAACTCAGAGACGCAAAATTTGAACACAGCGTCTCATGATCCCATCACACTAAACCAGCGTAATCATATCATTCTGAGACAAACAGTGAGGAAGCAAGACTTCACAAGAACCGGAGTATTCGGTATGAGCTTGAAAAACAACTCTTCTAATTATTACGGATGCATAAATCCAACTTCCATGAAATCACATCGCTTCTAACGAGTAACCAGAAACTATATGATTGATATGTGTCAAAAACAATCCAACCGGCTATGACAACCAGAACTACAGCAAAGATAACCCTTAACAGCTAATTGTGCACAACAATTTGAGTTCATTGGGAATATGTACTAGTAGGTCTTCGAATAGTGCGATAAGCAAGAATAGAAAGCCCAAGTGTAGCAACAAAAAGAAAAAAGAAAAAAGAAAAAGAAAAACCCTACCATTTCTCAACGTCGATCACAACCAGAATCTCCATGTGAAATCCCGGTCAACTCAAAAATGAAAACCACAATGCAGCACTGTAAAGCTCCACAAGACGCACCACAAAAAAAGCCGGCATCCGACAAGTCCTCCTCAAACCGACGCCATTCTGAAGAAGCTGAGGCGACGAAGACGATGAGACGCGCTTAACATCAGCTCTCCCCGCTTCAGACGACGCCACGCTCATGTAACTCTCCTGCTGCAACAAGGAGGAAGCCAACCCGATCCCGCACATCACCGCCATCGCGCTGAACCGCCTCCAAAACAACCTCTTCCAACACCGCAAAATGCCAAATCAACAGCTAATATTCAGCGAATCCTCCACCAAAACGGCCACTAAACGGCTCAAACCACTCTCCGTAGCGTGGGAAATAGCAGCAGTGCGAAGTCTCCCACGAATTCGCCGAGCAATGCACTGCGTGCCCGTGCAAATCACGCAGGGATCCCCAAAACCCTATCCTGCGACAAATTGTGCCAGCGTGCCAAATTCGGCAGACTCCTCGGCAAGGCGATCCTCAGTCTTAACCCCAGACACGACATTCATCCATCTCAACTCACATGATTTACATATTCATTCATTGATTCATCAATTCAGGGCCTGTAGGGTTTTGCTGGATCAGATCAGCAAAGATGAATAAAAGATGTAGATAAGGTGGGTTGGATAGGATCATCCTGATTTGGATGAACCATCACGTCTTCAAATGTAACAACCGAAAGTGGATATAGCACCCTCAAATCAAAGCAATGAATCCGGATTTTATTTTATTATTTCTGAAATTGTTTTGAGAGGTATTAAATATAAGCAAACATGTATAAAATTCTCTTCAAAACACAATTTTTTCATCTACTCTTACATTATGCAAACTAATAGGATTTGTTTTTGTCAAAGAAGTATGAAAGGTTTTGTTTTCTTAAGTTTTATTTTTTAATATTAAAATATTATAATATAAACACCATCAAGTTGTTTAAATATATATAAAATTTTATACTTAAATGATTCAATAATATTCAATATTTTAAAAAATACTTTTAAATATATACTAGCATGAAAGACCTTTATTCAACTTTTAAAATATGCATACATCTATTACGTTGTATAGTTGTAATCATCTCTCTTCTATCAAATGTCAAAATCACTTTTCATGCTTCAATATGTAATCATTATATCTAACTAAATTTGAAATAGTTTAACACATATAATCTTCAATGGCTTTAATTTGCCACAAATTATTGCCAATGAACTTTATCAAATTAATAATAATAAAATAATAAAAACCAATACTTAAAATTAATCTTTTAAGCAAGCAATAATTTCTTATTTATTTATTTTTAAAGTTCCAACCTAAATTCTATTTTTTATTGATCTACATTGAAGTAAAGAAACTTAGCAAAAAAGATTTAAATGCATCATTGAGCTTTCAAAAACCATCAATAACAATAATAAAAAATTTAATATAAGAATCTATATGTAAGGTTTTAACTAACAACAATTTATAAACAAAAATATTATTACAAAGTATATAAATGTATATTGTCTACATCTATCTATATATGTATCAAATGAAATATAAAATTGTCAAAGATAAAAATCTCAAGCAATCAAAGAATCAATACACCCTTCTGCTATTCAAAAGAATAGATATTTATTCAAAGATATCATAATATTAAAACTAAAATGGCTACTACCAAAGATAAAAAAAACTAGAGACTTTTGAAACACGACTAAGAATAAAAAAAAATTAGTTGAAAAGATTAAAGAAGGCCTTATTCTTGCATGCACATATATTATTTAACTAAAAGTCATATGACAACGTTCTATAGGACCTCCAATATGTGTCTAATTTATAAGATAAGTTTCTTATATGTGCATCTCATAGCCAACTTATACCACAAGTAGCCAACATGTGTGATATATGACCAATTTTTTGGCTAAGTTTTCAACTTATTAATTAGCCACAAATATGTACTAAATTAAATTTGCATCTATAAAGCTTTTTAGAAGCTGTTCCACAAGATATTATCAAATTTGTCTATTTTTATTTATTTCTATCTAATTCTTCTTATACATATAATTATAAGTGTTGGTTATGTCCATGACATTTCCTTCACTTTAAAGAATGAATTCTATACAAAATAATATACATATCTAAAGAAGTCAATGATGCAAAAAAATATATTTGCTACATATTCTAAACTTTGTTCTTTTTGGAGGTAGTTGATAGGTCTTCTTAGCTATTGGTAGTATTTTATATCATGACAAAATGACCACCTTCTTAAATGATGATTATTAAGGCCTTCAAAACTTTCTTCAAATTAATAAAATATTTAAAAAATCATTATAGTTGATTCCTACATCTAATAATATCTCCATATATTAAGAGTTTTTTTTTTAAGGTTGTGATACAAAACACATTGTATTTTACTATCTATTTAAAAAAAAACATGTTGTTCTTAAAAGTTTTTATTTCTATTACAATGTCTCGGAGGTTGTGACAATCTTAGTTGCTTTATCTCATAACTCAACAAATAATAGTTCTTAAATTGAATCTGTTTGTTAATAATTTTTCATCTTTTTAATATCATAAATATAAAAAAATTATATATAAAAAGAAAACATAGAATGCAATCTTCAATAAATCTCATTTATTTTATAACAAAGATTTTTTTTATTCTTTTTCTTAATTTTAATGGATGTAATTGATAAATAGCATTAACCTTCATTGTTGTATTTGTAAGGTTCCTAAGTACTCCTATGTACATTCATTAATGTCATATCCATGCCAATATATAACATATTCCAACATATTTTGCCATTGCCTTATATCCAAGACTTCTTCTACCTCAAATTCTTGATTATTTTGTACTTCAATAAGAGGAAGTGATATTTTTCTTCTTCATGTTATATCCATTATCTTGTATGATTTAAGAAAAAAATATGTAAAACATAAGATAGATCTTCATAGATTTCAGCAGATGTAATTAAAATATAAATTCATTGATTTGAGTAGATGTAATTAAAATATAAATTCATTGATTTGAGTAGATGTAATTAAAATATAAATTCATTGATTTGAGTAGATGTAATTAAAATATAAATTCATTGATTTGAGTAGATGTAATTAAAATATAAATTCATTGATTTGAGTAGATGTAATTAAAATATAAATTCATTGATTTGAGTAGATGTAATTAAAATATAAATTCATTGATTTGAGTAGATGTAATTAAAATATAAATTTATTGATTTGAATAGATGTAATTAAAATATAAATTCATTGATTTGAGTAGATGTAATTAAAATATAATTTCATTGATTTGTTTATAAATAAAAAATTATCTAAGTCTACAATAATCCAACTTGTCATAAGGGCAAATAATCTAAAATATAACAATAAAATAATAAAATCTTATTATCAATATAGAATTGAAGTTATTCTTTGTAATAAAAATTATTGAATAGAAGAATATATTGTATTATTATAGCCAATTTGTGCTAATTTCAAGGATATGAATCTTAAAGAACCAAAAATTCAATACCTTCTTATATCACTTAAAAAAAATAGATATTCACTCAAAACTAATATAGTATTGAAATTGAAATGGCTATTGCTAAAGATAAGAAGACTAAAAAGTCTTGAAACAAGACAAAGGACTAGAAAGACATTGATAAGAATGAAAAAAACTTTGCTCTTTTCTCCATATATATTCTTTCACTAGAAGTTATGTAGCAATGTTGTATAGGACTTCTAATATATGCCCAATTTGTGAAACACATGTCTAACTTATAAGACAAGTTTTTTATATATACACCACATAGTTCGCTTATTTTAAAAGTAACTAATACGTGAAATACGTGGCTAATTTGTTGACCAAGTTTCTAACCTATCAATCAACTACAAATACATATAAAGTCCAAATTGCAACAATAAAGCTTCTAAGAAGCTTTGCCATCAAATAATATCAAATCTACCAACATTTAACTTCTATCTAATACTTCTTATTTAGATGTATATATATATATATATATATATATATATATGCATGTCTATGATATTACCTTTCCTTCTAGAGATAAATTTCACAAGAAGGAGTAATCATATGTTAAAGAAATCTAAGATATTGTCACGGATACAGAAATACAGGCTCGAGATCTAACAAGAAGTTCAAGAAGAATTGGCAAGAACTAGATTAATCAGATGAATGCAAGAACAACACTAGAGAGGTGAGTTAGAGCTCCAAGAGATGTATTGTCGAGACTAAAGAACTCTTCAGCCTCGATTCCAATATATACTCCTATTTAGAAAGCTTTTCAAGTAACTTCTACCAACTAAGAAGCTTTTAGAAGGTTCCAAAGACTTGCTTCTAGAAGGTTCTAGAAACTTGTCTCTAGAAGGTTCTAAGGACTATGTCCCTAACATCACCCCTTCCTTTAGCTTTGAGGTCTTTGAGAAGCAATGTTGTTGTTAATCAGTACCAATGTAAGAAAATGAAGATCTGTCACATAACATCTGCTATGAACTCCAATTGTTGTTCACAAGGCAAGTGGTTCATCGGCCCTTGAAGCCAACGGTAGTGGCCCACGCCTTCGACTTTTGACCAAGCATGAACTTCAGTGTCCTCATTGTGAAATTGTCCTGTAAACACGCCTTCTGGCTGACCATGATAAGTAGGTTCAATCTCAAATACAATCACCAATGATCAGTTACTTGGTATCTTCCATCGTCGTGATAGTGTAGGCAGTTCTTCATCTGGGGGTCGCCTTCGTGAGCTAGTCAGTTGAGATAATCTGACTAGCATAGTATCTATCTCTTGGCTATCCATATCAGAAGACCAAATTATGGCTACTGAAAAAATTCTACTTTAACTTAAAGAAAATAACTACATCAACTACGAATTTTGGTGGTGCTATCCGCCTTTCTTATATTCTTGGGTGAGCAAGCTTCAGAAGGAAGCTATTGTCAAACTAGCTTAGGTTTATGAGGATGTTGTTGATGAAACTCCTGTACTTTTTGTGACGTATTGGCGAGATTTTCAGCTGGCTCTCACGTTCGCTCATTAATATCGTAGCCGCACCAATGAACAAGATACTCCAACTTGCCCCACCTTTGCCATGAATCCAGCACCTTTTCGACCTCATATTTTGAAGCTCTGATAGTTGTTTCACAAATCCTTTAGCTGCTGGATTGTTATTTGTTGATGGATTCAATAAATTAAGCTTCGGATGATACCCATAGTTGGAAAAGAATGGTGTGTATTGAGTCGACACATGGAGGGTGTTGTTATATGCAAACTCGGCTAGCGACAGATATGTGGTCCAATCATCTTGCTGATAGTTGATGCTGCAACGTAAGTATTGTTCCAAGATTTGGTTCACCCGTTCCATTTGGCCGCCAGTTTGAGGATGAAAGCCGAAGAAAGCTTGATATCCACCTTCAGTATCTCAAAGAGAGATCTCCAAAACTTTGACATGAACTGGGTTCCTTGATCTGATACGATATCATCTGG